GCTGGTCTCATTGACGTGGTATACATTGTGACTCTGGCAGAGACCTTTCCGCGCAACCTTGGGCCCGTCGTTGCTCTTGCGAAGGTACTGACCGGGCTTGGCTCCTCCGTGCTGGCCTCCATTAGCGTGAACCTCTTCGGCGACAACATCTCCGGTTTCATTTACGCCATCATGGCGTACTCCGTTGTTGTGTGCGGCGTGGCAGCCTTTGTGGTGGTCCTGCCACCGTACTTCATCAACGGATGGCGGCGCCGCAGGAAGAGTGCGGAGCAGCTTGCTGCCATGGCGGCCCTGGAGCCTGCGTATCGCCGCAAGTTTGTTCCTGTGCGCCGCCTTGGCGTCGGTTACTTTGTTGCGATTTTGCTGCTGATCTTCTTCACCGTCCAGTCGCCCGTGGTGAGCTACACGAAGGTGTCGAGGGGGGGTTCGGTCGCCCTTGGTGTCATTACGATTGCGCTTGTGCTGTGTTTCTTCCTGATGCTGCTGCCTCTTCCGTGGCTGGGCGGCATGGAAGGCAGTGCTGATGAAGAGCCCGTGCGGGCTAATGAGGCGGAGGAGGAGGATGGCTGTGGCAAGGGGGTTGACCCCGCTACTACAAACGCCATCGTGCCAAACATGCCGGAGAAGGAGCGGGCCGCCTTGCCAGATGGGGTCACAAGTGTGTCTGACGGCGCTGTGGAGGTTCCGCGGGATTTCCGCTATGACGGCACCGTGTGGGATAACTTAAAGCGACTAGACATCTGGTTGATATTCGTTGCGTTCATGTGTCAGAGCGCCATGGGTGTCATTGTCGTTTACAACGCAAGTACCATTTCCGTGGCGTTGACTGGGCGTAAGCGGAGCCAGCAGACCTCCGCGCTGTACACCGCGTTCCTCGGAGTGTCCAGTAGCGTTGGGCGGATGTCGATGGGGATGTTCGAAGCCTTTGTTCAGCACCAGCCCCCCAACAACCGCCGGTACATGGTGACGCTCGCTTTGCCTCTTTCGCCGCTCCTTGCTGCCATCGCCGGCGTCTTGCTTCTAACGCTGCCAGGGGAGGCCATCTTGTTCCCTTACATCATCGTGTACTTTGAGGAAGGTGTCTTTGCCGCTGTTGGTGCTGTGATGTTTCCGTCGCTGTTTGCAAACGACCATGCTGTGTACTACAATGTTGGCTTCCTGACAGCAGTGTTTTCCGTCGTAGGGTTTAACCGTTTTCTCTTCGGCTACGTGGTGGATGCAAAGCACGCCAGCTTGGGGTTTGGCCCCAAGGAGGAATGCAGCGTGCCGGAGTGCGTGCGCCTTCCGATCATCGTCGCCACATGCGTGGCGGCTGTGGGAGCTCTCCTCTCGCTCGTTGTGCACATCCGCTACAGTCGATTTGTTCGTGAAGTTCGTCGTGAGATGGAGGAAATGAACTGATTTGGATTGCATGGAACGGCTTTTCGTTTTCGTTTCGACTTTTTTTTTTTTTTTTGTATTTAGCAGGTGGGATCTGATGTTTATGTGCGCTGGCTGTAATTGAATTAATGTATTAGCGGCTTGCGGGCTTTTTGTCAGTGTTTCTTTTTTTTTTTGTATGCTTGGCAATGTGGCCACTGCACGGTTGCGGCACGGCGGGGCGATAGGACTTGTTGAGTGCTTTGTTGTATTTGTTTATTTGGCAAAATATAAGGAAAACGTTCGTGTTTTTGATGAACTTATTTTTAAGGAATGTACTTAACTGCCCCTGGAGCTAAAGGAGGGCGAGGGAGGGAGAGGGGAGGGGGGGGGGGTGTTGGGCGTGCCGCGGTGCTTTGAGTTACGGCAGTTGTGCGTGTGGCGGCTGCAGCGTTGTGCAGTTGAGGACGCATGCTGCTCTCTTTTATTTTTTTGGCTGCCGGTGGCCTTTCGGGGCGGCTGCAAGAGACCAAAATAAGCGAGGCGCCGGGTGGGTAAAAGGCGGTGGTGAAGGCGGGTACTCAGCGGGTCCGTTTCCGTCGCCGCCGTCGGTTGCATCGCGTGGACGCTTCTGGCGCTGAGAATTTGGCCCAGCGCGAACTGGTCGAAGCCGCGGGGCTGCTGCGTCAGGCATGTCGGCGGCGGCATCCTGCTCATCTCCCAATTCACCTCATGCACGTCCTGAAGGGCAAGAAGCCGGACTTTCACCTGGCGATGGGCTCCGAGCGTGCGCCGGAGATGTTCCACTGCTTGCATGACGTCCTCGCGAGGGACTGCGCGGAGGAACGAGTCGCAACGGGACGGTTTCAGTCATGCATGCGTGTCAACCTGTTGAACGATGGCCTAGTAGGAATTATTCTGGGCAGTCGGAGCAGACAGTGACGCCCTGTTGGGCGCTGCAGCGCGACGGCGTCCGGTTGCATTGCAATGCGTATGCCTGCCGCCTTGCGATGGGTTACCCGCCTCCCTGAATGAGGCTGGCACTTGGTAGTGGCCGCACTTTTTTTCCTTTTCTTGT